GAAGGTTCGGGTCTCGTGAGGATCGGCGGTGTCGCCAAGGTCGTCTTCAATGATGCAAAAGCTTCTTCACAGGCCTCGTTCCACAAGAAAGCTGAACTTTTTCGCAAGAGCTTCGTCATCGGGTTAATTTTGTCGGCCAGGCGAGGAAGGAATCTGGATAAGGCGACCAACCTCCCAAACAGTCATTGCAATTCTTTGAGGTTGTTCGGGCTTCGCATATCTAAGACAGCCTGGCACTTATCTCGGTTTGCCTTTATTCCTCTAGCTGATAGCATAAACCCTAAAAATTTGCCTCCCTTGACCCCGAAGGTGCACTTCTCGGGGTTGAGCCTCATGTTGTGCTTGCGTAGTTCATCAAAGATTTCGGCTAGGTCTGCTATGTGGTTGGCCAGGGAATTGGATTTGACCACCATGTCGTTCACATAAATCTTGATGTTCCGGCCGATTTGACCTTGAAACACCTTGTCCATTAACCTCTGGTAGGTCGTTCCAGCGTTCTTTAATCCAAACGGCATCACTTTATAACAAAAGTTGGCACTCTCAGTGATAAACGCTGTTTTTTCTTCGTCGACCAGGTGCATCTTTATTTGGTTGTAACCGGAGTAGGCATCTAGGAAGCTGAATATGGAGTGCCCGGATGCACTGTTGACGAGTCAGTCGATGCAAGGGAGTGGAGAGGCGTCCTTGGGGCAGGCTTTGTTGAGGTCGGTGTAGTCGGTACATATTCTCCACTGTCCATTCGCCTTTTTGACCAACACCACATTAGCTAGCCAGGTGGTGTAAGTGACCTCTCTTATGAACTTTGCTTGCAACAGTTTTTGTACCTCGGCATTTGCGACCTTTCTCTTCTCATCTCCCATCTTTCTCTTCTTTTGTGCAACTAGTCGTGCGTCCCGGCATACGGCTAGTCGGTGGCACAGGAATTTGGGATCTATCCCTAACATGTCTGACATCGTCCATGCGAACAAGTCTTTGTTGTCTCGAACCGCACGTTTCACTTGGTTTGAGTCAGCTTCGCTTAGTTGGGATCCCATGTGTGTGACCTGTTCAGGTGCTCGGTCGAGTTGAAAAGGAATGAGGTCCTCAGCTGGCTCAATTCGCTCTTCTTCACCTAACCGAGGATCGAGGTCAATGCCCTCCGTCATCTCCTATTTGACCACATTCACACCTTTCGTCGTGGTCGGGGGGTCGGCAATAGGCCGCACCTTCAGGCTAGAAAGGTAACACTCTCTTGCTGTCTTCTGATCGGCGTGCACGGTTATTACCTGCCCATCTCTCGATGAAAACTTCATGCATAGGTGAGGGGTTGAGACAATGGTCCCTAGTGCATTGATAGAAGGTCTGCCTAGCAGGATGTTGTACGATGTGTTCGCATGCACCACAATGTAATGGATTTTGATCTCGCGGGAAGATTTTTAGTCGAAGCCAAAGCGAGTGTATAGATCAATGCACCCTCTCGTCATCACTCTTTCACCTGAGAATCCTACCAATGGTTCGTGGTACGGTTCTAGGCTCTCCTCCAGGATCCCAAGCTGCACAAAGGTGTTCCAATACAAGATGTCGGCGGAGCTCCCCTGGTCGACCAAGGTTTTCTTCACAATGCAGTTGTGCATTTCAACCGAAATCACCATGGGGTCGTCCTAAAAGGGATCGATGCCTCGAAAATCTCGGTCGGAAAAAGTAATTGGTGGCATCCTCGGTGTCTTTGGCTGATTCACACTATTTACTGATCGCACAACCCGGAGGTGTCTCTTCCGTGCCGAAGAGGTGGAACCTCCCCCAGCGAAGCCTCTGGCTATGGTTTTGATCACTTTCCTTGGTCGATCGTTGTCTTCCCTAGAATGTCGCGAATGGTCCCACCTCTCGGTAGAGCGGGATCGGTGGCATCAGTCTCTCGGCTGTGGGGCCTCGCGAGGGTGATGGTCTCTCCCTCTTGCCTGGTGGTCTTGGAGGGTGACAAAGCTCCTGAGGTGACCCTGCTTGATAACGTCCTCACGCTTGTCTTTTAGTACCGAGCATTCCTTAGTTGAGTGTCCCCTGTTTCGGTGGAATCGACACGTCTTGGCCTTGTCGGCTCTAGGAGGGTGTTCGCCCTCTTAGGCATCACGAGGATCTTCGAAGCGAGGGCCTGCTCCATTACCTTGGCCTTGCTCGCGTTGAGGTGAGTATACGCTGGGTAGCGTAGTCCTCTCGGGGGACGAGCATTTGAGAACTCGGCA